GGCAGATGAGGCTCCAATAGATAGAGAAGCAGCTGGCAAATCAGATCTAGGCCTTAAAGAAGCCGGACAGCTTGTTGAACCATTTAATAAAGAAACTTCACGAAGAAAATTCTATCATTGCATGGTAAAGAAAACATTATTTTACATTTATATGTACATATATAAACTGATATTTAATTTAACGGTGTGAAATCCACTAAGCCTTGAGCACCTTGTTTTTTTCGAAAAAATATTTCTTATTGTTTAGAGCTTGCTTAAATGCCCGTACATATTGCTTGTATTGCGGGAACCTGTAACCAAAATTTGTGTAAATGTGTTACTCAGCCTTATATTTCCATTATTATTATATACCTATGGTAAACAGTAAGCCATATTAAAGTAACAAAACAATCCTGTATAGATATTCTTAACTATAATCTTAGAAGGCGTATGAGGATTGTATTGGTTGATTCGAACCTTATGTTAACTTTTGATGACATTTTAACAAGCATTTTTAAGAATATACACCTTTATGGTCCTTCAGTGATTTGCCACTCATTTTTACCATTTTTCTTGCATCCGGAGAGTCTTAGCCCCGTGGTTTATTGCTAAGGGCACTGGCGTTTGCTTCAATGGATAAAACCAGTTATCTCTGCGTCACATACATATATGCATGTATATATATATATATAATGATGTTTACTTTTCGTTTGTTTAATTTGTTTTTACCAAATATAAATACTATCATGATCAGGCCGCTTGCTTTTATACGACGAATCCTTCATTTAATCCGCAAGGTGCTTCTTACTCCATCAATTTTTTTATTGCAAGCATTGTCTTGTCAAATAAAATGTAGATAGAAACGAAGCCTCTAAATGCTACTTATTATTTACCAAGCTAAGCTAGTCTTTTATTACTTCTTATTTAATGCATTTATTTCTTTTTTAAAAATCCTACTGAGGTTTTAGATCTGTGACCATAAAATTGCATATTTTATTCCGACACTTTAATATGTGACTTGTATATTATCATCGCAACTTAAAATTATTTGATCGAAGGTATGAAGACCAAGATGATATTGCCTTTTGTATGGTTGAGGTATCCCTTCGTTGCATATAAGTTGTTTGCGCTTGCTTTTGCAGCTTGGTTATATTAGCAGGGAGACCTATAGGAATGCATTTTGTCCTGAGTCCATAGTGTGCATAATAATTTTCAGAGTCGGAGCATTGACTTGGTATATTTTTAGACGTTTCGCCAGCATCTTAAGTGAGTCTTGCCATTATTAGCACCATAATACAACTCGTCAAAAAAAGTTAAGTCGATCCTTTGACCCATTTTCTGCTAACCATTTTTGGTATATTTCCTGTCCTTTGGTATGTCCTTGCTTATCTGGATACAACCTGCTTCTACGTCTGTATTTAAAACACATACGTTAATTATCATCTCAACCAGAACCAAAGAGATTGAAACGGCTGACTTTAGGCTCAGGTAAAAGCCTGTGACTTGGCAAATGTAGGCGCTACTGACCTGAAAAATTGGTGAGCTTCTATTGAGAAAAATGTTAAAGGATGAATTAGTTTACCTGTTTCGTCTAGGGTATTCGAGTTAGAAAATCTTGAATTTATTATGAAGCTGATCCTCATAAAATCTTTTGAAACCAGTTTCTTCAACGGGCAGGTCATCAGTGAATATCCTTCTCAGAACGATGGCCTAGTAGAGTACTCAAATACAAAAATTATCCCGAATCACTACTTAATTAGGCTCTATACGGTGGAAGCACAAAGAAACGGAAGATTAGTGAGGCCATTGACATCGTTAAGGAAAAAAAAGTAATGAACAGAAGATTGTAAAAAGGCAGAGTTATTGATAACTCTGCCTATTGCCTAATCAAACTCGGAGAAAACCTGGGTGCACAGGAAAAGCATAAAGAAGGCGCCTGAATCAATGACCTATCGTAAGGGAGGGTGGGTAAGTTTCGGAAATGAGGCTAAGACATTCTCAGTGAAGGTAGTCAGCTCGAATGAGCAACTACAACTTTGGGGACCTGGCGTTTCACGTGAATAGGGGGAGGGATTGGACTACTGAAGACTTGAGAAATAGCACTTGGAGTAAAAGTACGCTGAGGCTTGAACCGAGTGAAATCGGTCAACCAGAAAGCTACGAAATGGATCTACATGCCCATAAGGCAGATCCGGGCAGGAGGTTATAGTCGGAATAGCCACTTGAATGGGAGGGAGCAAGGCAAACACAAGTGTGATGACGCCACGGTAAATTCGCCAAAAGGGCACATTTATTGTGGAATATAAGCGCGTCCGAATTTGTGGTAGGACGAGAGCGAGATGAGGATATGAAATGGATAGAGGGACCAGGATAGAACGAAGAGGGATAGCACAACCGTTTCGACAGAAAGTTGGTCAAGGGATTGACTTCACTTGTCTCTGGCGAGTAGCAGCTTGGTGCTGAGAATGGCAAGACTCACTGAAGAGACCGGCTACGATGCCGGCGAAACGTTTGGAAATGTACCAAATCCACTGTCCGACTGGAAATTATCATTCCTGATATGGACTCCGGACAAGGTACGTTCTTCTATATCTTCCTGTCAATATGACCAAGTTGTGAAAACAAGGTCAAACAACTACTTTGTTTTTTCATTTTATTTCACAAAGCTGCCAAAACTTAGCTGCATGTTATATCTTGTTGAACTTTTAATTCCATCTCTTACTAAAATATTTGTGATATATTTATATCAGACATGAAAACATATATTTGAAGCTGTATGGCTTGTCCTATCTTAACATATTGCATCATCATCTTATCAGCATTTGATCTCTTAAAACACTAAAATCTGATAATCCTGTATTTTATGGCAATTTTACACGTTCCATTTCTTTATTTTGAACATAACTCAGCTTATTAAAGATATACTTGGCAATTGAAATAAGGTCTGCTATTATATGAAGAGAAGCTGTGCTTCCAAGTTCATTTCCCTATCATGTTTTAAGGGCTAACATGGAAATCGCAATTTCCTTCTAATTGTGGCGGTATTGAGCGATGTTTAGAGTCATTTTCGGGTTTTTAATAGGATATAGTTAAAGTTGATATCGCATTTTACCTTGGAAAAGTTGACATTTTGGTGAAAATGTGAGATTCAATTGCGAGATAGAGTCTTTCAATTTGTCGCGTATAGCTATGCTACCAGAGGCCTTGACTATCAAACATCTGAATTGACTATCTTTACAAAATATAATTACAGATAACCTCTAACACTAGTGTCGTATTCACCACGCCGTATAAAACTTAAAATTAAAATTACCTATTAATTTTTTTCACTAAGTAATTAGTAATACATTTTTAGGTCGTGTGTTAGTAAGCTAAGTTAAATATTTCTTTTGCGTAGGTTTGTCGCGCCAATCTAGCCAATCAAGCCAGCTGGCGTCGTCATGGAGCTCGCCATGCTCGACCTCTGGGCAACTCTTCAGGCGACTCTTGCTTCCCTTGTCCTGTTTGCCCAGCTGACCTGGGTCGAGTATATAGCAGCTATGTCCAACTTAACAGGCATTTCCGCCAGGTTCATCCAACTGGATTTCTAGCCTGTCCTCATTGCCCACGAAAGTTTGCTCGACCGGTCAAGTTACGCCAGCATCTGGATGCCATTCATACAGGCCTGCGTAAATTCGTTTGCACACAGCCCGGATGTGCACGAGCCTTCAGCAGGAATGATAAATTAACCGAACACCTCAGACGTCATGTGAGTAGGTTTTATTGGAATCTGAGCCCACTTGGCTTCGCCTTAGCCTTTATATGACCACCTCCACAGGCATGTAAGTATATAATAGTCCCGCCACTAGTTTCCTTCGATTTTAAGATTGTTAAGCTGATCTTGTAGCTCTATACTGAGCAATATTTGCTGTCTTATTTTAGTTCTTATTATATACAAGATAGTCTTATAGATTGCTGCGTTGATTTTAGTTTTGTGTGAAAGTTATAAATGAAAAGCATTGTAGGTTGATCTCACCAGAAGACTCTTTTTACCCTGAATTCTTTTCGCATTACTATGAAGTTCATGGTTATGCAGTCCATATGACCTTTGAGCTTCGGTTAAAGCTGGCTGAGATTTTGTCTTTGAAATGAATAAAATCATTAGGGCTGGATTTCACTCTGTAAATAGTTTAAAGCTATGAAAAGAAGGCTAATGCACTTTTCATTGCACGGTATAGATAGTCGCAACAACAAAAATAACTTAAAAAAGGATTAGTTCCTTTAAATGTCATTCCAGGTTCTCGCATTTTCGTTTGTGTGTTAGCAAGGTAGGAAAAGTAGTGATAACATGTTAGTTATGAAGAGAAACTGGGTTTTGATGAATCTTTTGAGATAATCTTATTAGGAGGACTTTCAGTTCGTATGAAAGTAAATGAAGAAGAGATTCGTTGGTCGATCTCACCAAATGAGGACGGATGAATCTCGTTGTACTGCAGCTGTTTGGTTTTTGTACTATATTCATTTTGACGCAGTCCACAAGACTTCCTCCCTCGTTTCGGGTGAGAGTCATCTGATGAGATTGACCAACGAATCTCTTCTTCATTCACTTTCATGCGAACTGAAAGTTCCTCTAGTGATAACATAGAACAAGCCAAATCTCTTTACGGCGAAATATTTTGGGCATAAGTTATTTTGTTCCATTTAAATTTCACTCAGCATTGTCAGAAAATTCAACTACCAGTCCTTCATTACCTTGAACGAACTGTGGTGAACACAGCTCACATATATAATTAATTTTTGTCATT